TAAAACGCTTGGAGCCTCATATTTTGTTCACATTTGTTGTTGCTTCACAAGTGGTATGGCCGTAGTTAGTTGGTTTTTATTGTGTATGGCCTGGTGTATGAGCTATATAATAGGAGATCAAATATCGAGTTCTGAGTTTTGTGACACGTGTATATAAGAAAGGTTGCAAGACATGATACGCGTGTCACATTGTTCCGTACTTATTTTGTACACAGAATTTTTTTATAATGATACTTCAATATGAATACTAACAACAAAACCATCTGAAGGCTTCACCTGTACTGACCTGTTGTCTCATACACAACCTTCTTATGCTGATGTACGCTTGATCATGCCATGCCCGGATGAAATCTTTTGAAAAGGGATTCGGCGAATTACGTATTTTGCTTGCACCGACTGTGTACTATCCCAATGGTTCCTAACAATTTTTTTAGGCGACCCAAATTTAAAAATAATTACATTCAGTAAAATCTCGCGATCCAAGAACATGCTCAAATACTAAACGACTTGTAGTGCTTTTGTGACCGCAAAATTGAATGAATAATATAAAACAATTATTTTACATAGATTATTAAACCAGATATAACCTTAAAGTGAGAAAGCTGCGCTTGTCCGCCATCCGCGAGTTTTTAAAAACGTGGCTTTACTCAAGCAAATAGATGCTGCCTAGTACTGTGATATTTCCTACATATACAATTACTATTAAGAAACACTTCAATACCAAATATAAAATAAACAATAGAATTTACTAGGAAGTAAAATCAAAAACTTTCAGTTTTTTTATGAGTTGGGTTGCGCGAGACTGACTGCCTATCCTTCCTTTATGCCTCTATGCTAGGGGATCCGTGTGCGTATACTGCAAGGGTTCTGAGGCAGCAATAAACGTGACTGTGCTGGGATATTCAAGAGTCCTGCTGCACACAAATATATTTTTGTAACGGCCGTAACATTGTGTTAGTGTTCAATAGAACTCTAAATTGCATGGTTTTAGATTTTTGTTTGAAAATACAAGCGACCCAAAAAAATTCTAATGTGACACATAGATGAACACTGCACTATACACCCTCAATATGTTGTCTTATCATTACGATACTATGATATACCCATACCACAACAACTACAAATTCGTCGAAATGATATTTAAAAAATGAAGATAACTATTTTGCCTAATGAAAACTCTCGGAGTCTGTACTCCAACTCAAAAGCAAGTAACACCCAGAATTGTAAAAATAACTTGCAACTAAAATTTACCTTGGATAGGCTCAAAGTATAACAGATGAATCTTTTGTAGAAACCCATCGCCAAAGATAACACCCCGCCACCGTTAACGTGGTAAGCGAAATTCGCAGTGCTTAACACGCGGCGGGGTTGTGTTTTACTCAAATATCTCTTCTTTACATCCCTGGCGTGGCTTTCTACAAATGGTCCTAACAAATACCGAGTTGATCTGACGGTGCTCTTGTAGTATGCGAACCAAGATGGCGGACACCGGAACGTAGTATGTGTACCAGGTTATGGTTTGGCCATAATTTTATTCTAATTAATCTTCCTCATTTTAGTTCTATTTCGAGTTCGGGGACTAGCCAAGTGACTCCCGTAGTATTTGTACCTGAAATTATGGCCTAACCTTAACCTGGTACACATACTACGTTCCGGTGTCCGCCGTATTGGTTCACATACTACGGGAGAACCGACCTGACTATACTTAATAACTAGAAGATTACTTACAATTACATTAGGTCGTTCTGAAATCCTGCATTACTCCCACGCAAATTTTATTCTGTTGAGCATACCGAGATTAGGCTTTTTTAGGCAAGCAGTTCACAATAATTATAATTCGTAGATAATGATAATTAGAAAAACACGACTTGTCTGATGAAGTCTGGCTTTTGTCAAACAGAACTTTAAAGAATATTCTTCTTGAAAGCTGACGCAAGATTTTTGAAACGGCGCTGTATCGACTTCCGAAACGGATATTATGACGTCATAGCAAATGCAACCTGAAATCAGTCAAGGTATCGTTCAGCGATATCCAATTCGAATTTAATATCCGAATTTATTCGAATATCGTGACTCTCAAATATCGTTTTTAGTGTTTATAGGAATATTGAATATCGCGCACAAGTCCTGGCGCCGCCGTCCACGTTTCGAATGAAAACATTTCACAATTATTTCATTTTTAAGTTTCATCGTAATCGAAGACACTCTTTGCGACGCGCAATAAATTACTGCCGACATGAAATGATTTAAGTCAGCGCCGACTTGCAGTATTTATAAGTCAAGAAAGTTTTTGAATGAAAATATTTTACAATTATTATCGTATATTGCAACATCGTCGAGATAGTCTGGGTCACCGCGGCAATAAATCTAAATTCAAATTTTTTCGTAATTAATCTTTTTCATCTTTAGTTTCGATAGTGAGCATTTCTTGCATTTACCCCGTATGAAATAGCTCTTAATTAAATATTATTTAGTATCTATCGCAGATTTTGTTGTTAGACTGGCGTCGTTAATAATAATATCGTTCAGTTCAAGTTTGCGGTATTAATTTAAAACAATAATAAAAGCATAACAGTCGACATGTAATATTTAAATCAGAGCTGACTTGAAGAAAAATAAAACGCCATGTTTAGTCTATATTCTCCGTCATTGGCAGATCGAAATTTGAATCGGGTCCACTCATTTGATTATGATGATGATCGCGTTAAAGGCAAAATAAAAATTAAGTCCCCTCAGTAGCACAACAGCCAATATCTGTGGGGAGGGATAATTGTGGCGGAATTTAGCTTAACGATGTCGATGTCACGCTGACGATAAACAGTCAGAAATTAGCCGTGTCAAAAATCTGATTTAATGTTAATTTTACTGTATAAATTAAAAACATTTCTCTGAGCGCCTAGTTGTTCTTTTTTCTGAGCTTGTCAAGATACACCACAATTCATACCTACTGTAATGTTTATTAAGTCCATTTTCCTAGAGCCCAAAATAACTAATTTCAATCAATGATCAAAAATATTTTTTAGAATGTACTGAATCACGAGGATCTGTGGCATCGGATAAAGCAAACCCAATTAATACTGGCAAAACAAAAAGGAGCTTCAGAAGTATATGCACCAAGATGGCGCACAACCTGAACATAGTATGTGTACCAGGTTATTTTTCAGGTTGCGCGCCATCTTGGTACACATACTTCGGAGCGCCAACAAAAATGATCTTCAAGTGCAGCAGGTTTATTAATAGTGGCAAACTCAATATTTAGGTAAAATTTACAATTTAAATGTATCAATATGGACTATCGGACTTGCATGGAAACCTGCGGAACCACTGGACTGCGCTGGATCCAAAACTCTGGCTACGCCCTTGTCCACTGAATGTCGTTTGACGTTAGACTCAAAATAATTCGAGTCAAAATTCGAAAATTCAGAACCCGAGATATCATACAGACAGTGATGGAATTCAAATTTTTAGTCAGCCGGTTCTTTCACAAAAGTCATATTTTTCAGCCGGTATTGTTACAAACAGAACATTCACAGTAACCAGTAATGCTAACCGGTTCGCTGATCTCATAAAATTCCGTGAGACGGTTCTATAGAACCGGTGCGAATCGGCTGAATCCCACCATTGCATACAGGTATATGCACGTACATTTACCTTAATGTAAATGCTTCAAATTCTGCCCAGCGTACAGAAAGAAGCCTTTAGGTACAAGACTTTGGTATCCAACACCTTTTCGTACCACTGAGGTATATATATGAATGATTTTTTTCTTTGTTGCATCCCCCCTTGTTTTTCGACACGATGTTTTAACTTACTGTACCCAATCTACAGTGCGTTACCGGTATCGAAATATTGCTTGTGGTTTTATTATTGTTTTTAAAGTAATACCACAAACTTGAACTAAACGATAATATTATTAACGACGGCAGTCTAACAATAAACTCTGCGATAGATACTAAATAATATTTGAGAGCTATTTCATATGAGGCAAATGCAAGAAATGCTCGGTCACTATCGAAACTAAGGATGAAAAAGATTAATTACGATAAAATTTGATTTTATATTTATTGTCGCGCTAACACAGACTATCTCGACAATGTTGAAATATACGATAATAATTGTAAAATATTTTCAATCAAAATCTTCCCCGATGTGTTATAAATACTGCTAGTCGGCACTGACTTGAATCATTTCATGTCGGCAGTCATTTATTGCGATTCGCAAAGAGGGTCTCCGATTGCGATAAAACATAAAAAATGAAATAATTGTGATATGTTTTCAATCAAAACGTGTACGGCGGCGCTAGGACTTGTGCACAATATTCAATATTCTTAAAAACACTAAAAACGATATTTGAGAGTCGCAATATTCGAATAAATTCGGATATTAATTTCGAACTGGACATCGCTGAATAATACCTTTGCTATGACGTCATAATATCCGTTTCGGAAGTCGAAACAGCGCCGTTTCGACATATCAGTGTTTCGAAACGTATCGAAACAGTGTTTCGAAACGCCCAGCCCTAGCTGCGACTGTGGTTGCGAAATAGGACAATCAATTTGAAATACAATTAATTCCAGTGTCCCGTCATTTGATAATTGATAGCGGCCCAAGCAGACTTTTTCTAAGTCCTCGCACACGAGCGTTCGTTCAATTGAAACAGACTATTTCGTCATTTCCTTTGAGCGAGTTGTGATTCAGGTTTCATTTTCTATTTATAGGGTGTGTCTATAAAGGCTTAAAAATGTTTAAAATTGCAAAGGGAATTTATCGATACTATATAATATTTTGGCCCTCACAGATGTATTAAATGAAGTAAGGATACTTGAACAATTCCTGATTTAAAAACAACAAACCTGGTTAAGATATGTTGAGAACAGACTTCAAATTGAATTTGTAAAAGAACTTTATGGGCATGAACTTAATAAACGCTGCACATAAAGAACTTATGTGGCATGGTAATTGCAAGGGTTGCCTCATAACGGTAAATCAATACCAGCAAATATATAGTAAACATTTATTGCAAAAAAAATGGCGATGTACCTCTTATGTTATAGAAAATAAAAGATAAAACCTAACAATGACGGGATAGAAACACGACAAATAGCTCACTATAAGCTATAAATATAACCAATTAAAATATAATATAAAACACATATTGAAACTATGAGAACGTTTTTTTGCGTAAAAATGATAAAATGAACAATTAAATATACTCACGCCAATATTTCCACGAAAAACCAATTTTATCGAAATGAAGCTTTTTGTTACTCAAATATCTGTATGTTTGTTTAGGTATGGACCAAGATAGTGATAGTAGAGGAGATGAATATATTATTACTGGCTGCCATTTAAACAACATAATTTGCCATATTATAACAAACATTTTCAGATAAAATAGTGCAAACAAAATCGAAATTTGGAAAAATTACATTTCAAGAACTTGCTTAAAATTACCTACTCCTAATAATACTTCCACGAAAAATCAAATTTGCGATGTTTTACTAAACTATTCTTTTATTATAATAATTTGTGTACAAAGTTAGAAAATGGTGAATATACAGTTTCTAATCATTATTTAAAAAGGCCTCTTTGAAAGGGCTACAGGACTGGCATGTAGACAACAGGATTTGATATATTTTAACGAGCGTCTTCAGATAAAATAGTTCGAACAAAATCGAAATCCAGGTCATTTGGAAAAATTGCATTTCAATAATTCAAATTAATAAAATTATAATTTCAGTTAAGAAAATCGTAATATTATTTGTGAAAAACTTTGCAACTCTATTTTCTACCCGAAGTAATATTACCGCAATAAACGTTAAAATCGAAATTGACTCCATTAGGAGATAAATCACAACCATGCTTTGGGAATAACGTAACACGATAACCATGTCACCACGAAACCAACGGTGATTTTGATATAAAAAAAATTGTCTTGTAAAATCTTGACACACAAAATTGATGATAACATAAACAGATGCAAACTCTGGTAGCACGAACGCTTGGCATGAAATTTGAAGTTTATTCCTGTACTGATCGATGATATAAAAAATAATAATTGTTGGATTACACTTATACATGTTGTTTGAGATAGGGCGGATATAATAAAATACGAGAAAAACTTGGTTAAAAAACAATCGGGGTAGGTTGTTGGCTTGGGATATAAAAATATATTGATCGTTTGAAACAATAAAATAAGAACTTAGTGGAAGGGCGTATTAATCTAGAAAATTATTGTTATTTCTGTTCAACGAAAAAATTATGACTCGGCAAAAACTGTTGATTTTGTGGGTTAAAAATATCACAAGCATTCATTAATGATGTTTCGTCACTTCCGCCAAATACGTCATCATCAATGTCGTCATCAAAAGAACACTTCCGTTTATTTCCCGACATCATATCGTTTATATCCGCGTCCAAAAATTGTTGCAATGCGTTTGGTGAAAGAGTTGGCAGTGGGCAAGGATTAAATTGCGTCATCGATTCGGGTGATGACGCAGACGGCGCTGGTGACGTCATTAATTTTTTTGTAGCGTCTGTAATGTCATCTTTTACAATTGGTGATGTAGAAAATGCATTTGTAGCGTTAAAAGCAGCGCTTAAAATGTCCTCCTTTTCTATATTGGGTATAGGCATCACATGTGAAGCAGTCCCTGGGGACTCCCCCATTCTGCCGGGGATTGGTGACGACTCGCCGGACGAACTTGACGGCGTTGAGGTAATTGTGGTTGTTGATTTAGGAATGTAGATAACGGGTAGACTTGAATTTGAATCTGTGAAGTAGAAAGATTTATTTAATATTGTTTTAATCAAAATATATTTTCGGTAGTTTCGTTGTGTTGCAGCATCATATAAATATTAAAGTAGCCTATATAATTTGATTCAATAGTCTTGCTGCACACTAACACAAAAGTATTTCTGTATAGTTTTGTCTGAACGGGAACAAACTTCTTCAGAGGAAACGTTACAGAAATACATGCGTGTTAGTGTGCAGCAAGACTCTTGAATTAAATAGTATAGTCAACTTTATTCTTGCCATAGCATCCTTGTGTTACACGCACACGAATCCTTTCCAATAAAGTTTAATATGGCCAACTGATGGTTACGATAGCCTATAAATATGCTTAAATATTGGATTTGTTTACCAACATCTAATACGCAGGTTGTGTGACATTTTGGACAATATATTAGATTTATTCAATTGTTATAAACAGAAGGTTGAGCAATTGCATTGTATCGCATTTTGTGATTGTATAACAGTGTAATTCAATATATATATATAAATTTGTCGCTAAAATTCACAGGTTGTGCGACCTTTTATAGGGCGAAGCATAGGCGTTACGGGAAAAGTCAAGAAAATCATATAAAACGAACCTTTATTTTGTGTAGATGTGTTAGCTTGCTGGGCTGCTTGTTCTTGGTAGTAACTGCACCTGAAGAAAGTCGGTAGTTGGGTATTGGCACCTCCTGTAGATAGAAGAAATATTTGTTGATATAACTATCCTGTTTAGCTAGTACAAGTTTGGTTGTAGCGAAGTCATTAGCCCTCAAATGAAAGTGGATATACCAAAGGTACTTGAAATAACTCTAACATGGGTAGGAAAATAGCTAAATGGTAGGGGAGGCCCCATAGTGCATTCATTATTTGGACACATTTTTTCATAGCAAGTTCACGACTTAAGATGGGAGCAAGATATTTCAAACAACTCGAGTTAACACCACCAAGAGAACAGCTAACTAGAAAGGAATGTACAATGTAAATACTTTAACCCAAAACATACCATCAATTCTTATTACGTAATTATTTTTAGTCTCTGTCGCAAATATAATAGCTTATAACGCGCTACTGTTCGCTATCGACTGTGCCGTCAGTAATATTTACCATTTAGTTGACGGCTTGGGACGTTAAATTGAGACTTGCGAATACGAATGCAAAGATACAATACGTCACTTCTATCAAATATCTTTCCACTTTTAGTTTAGGGCTCAGAACATTACTTTGAGCGAACATGTATTGTATACAAATATAAATCTCATAGCACGAAAGCTATTAGATCAGTGGTCCTCAAACGGTGAGGCGCGTCCCACAGGGGGCGTAGACAATTTTCTTAAGGGGCCTGAAGCTAATTACAAATAAAAATAATTGTTAGATTTGATCTTGCCTGCCGTATTACGAATATTTACATTTTTTATTGTTTACATTTCTTTATTGTTAAGATATTGCGATTCCAACCACATATTTTCAACGTGTTTTTTGAATGAAACATACTTTCGTCTTATTATCTGTTATTTGTAGCTTATTGTTAGCTAGTTATTTTAGAGGTGGGGCGCGAGACTTAACTAAAAAGGGGGCATAGCTGGTCTGTGGCTGTTTCCACTAAAGAAAACTTGCAAAAATGGAACTATAACTACCACCGTACGTACCTTTACTTAAAGCTTCCGTCTTCACCCGGGCCAGGTCAAAAGGTAACGTGTTGCTCAAAGGTGCAATAGCATTAGGAGGAAAGCACCGATCCACGTTTAATAATTCGTATTTGTCCTGAAATATGTAAATATGATTGTAATTGATTTATTGATTAATGAGATAGTAAAGCTTACATTTTTAAATTTGAAAGTTTTCGTGAATTAAGCGTGGATTTCAAAGTAAATGCATATTGGAACTATTACAGGGTGTCCAGAAAATCGCCGATTTTATAATAATGATTAATTATAATTAAAAATTTCTCCCTATTTTATAGTGAAAACAATAAAAAAAAAATTGTCTGACAATTGTAAGTTTAAACAAATTTTATTGTATGATAAATGGGAACTACAAGCACGACAAGAACTATTAATAAACAAAGACAAAGAAATTTTCAATTGTCATTACTGTAAAATCGGGTGACTTTTTTGAGTAATAATGACACTGCGTAGTTGATTGATCAGAGCCGTGTGCAGAGTGACGATGGGAAAAATAAAATATCTCTTAAGAAACTCGGCTGGCACATGTCTGTATGTAGCATTTCGGTAGAATTAATCAACTTCATTTATCATAACGACTGTCGTTATGAAGCAAAATTACATTAGAATATTTTAAATCATGGCCCCAAAACTCTATTTTAAAAACGACATTTCATCCCAAAAACTTTTTGAGCCCACGAAGACAATTTTCCTATGTTACCCAGGAATAATGATCTCATATAGATTGCTAGAGACAAAGCCGAAAGTATTTAAATCTTTTTGAAATTTATGATATGAAAGGGGAAAGCGCTGACTGCTACTTTACTCATGTATATGGATCTACTTTTTATGTAGAATGTCAAAAGGCGAGAAAAAAATATGGTGCTCCCGAAGTATGCGAACCAAGATGGCGAACATCGGAACGTAACATGGGTAACAGGTTAGGGTTAGGCCATAATTTTTTTCCAATTTTCCTTATTTTAGTCCTATTATCAGTTCGAAGACTAGCCAAGAGCCTCCCGTAGTATTTATACCTAAAATTATGGCCTAACCCTAACCTAGTACACATATTACATTCCGATGTCCGCCATCTTGGTTCGCATACTTCGGAAGCCCCAAAAATATTCATCACACCAACTTCTTACAAAGTAATAAAGAAAGGCTTAAAGTTACCAACCAGTGGATTTCCATTATTAGTCTTCAATCTTTTAGCGCTCGGTGTCTTGATTATATCACTGGATACACTTGGGCCAAAATGATGAACAGTTTTCTTTGACGGATCAGAATGTTGTGTAGTTGTATCTTTTCCCTCTGACATATTGCTGAGTAATCCTTCCAATTCACGGTCAAAATCGACGTTAGCTAGACTGTTGTTTTCTTCAGTTTTCACATCAATACCCGCTGTATCTATGGTAGGAATTGTAGTTGAAGATTGGTTTGTGGATAACGCGTCTAGAAGTTTCAAGGAATATGATATAAAGTTAGTAGTGAGAGGTGAAAAGTATTCGTTTACGTTGCAAGAAGCAACTGTATTAAAGTTTATTGAATTTAAGAATCTTGCTGCACACTAACACGAATGTATTTCTGTAACGTTTCATATGACCGAGGTCAGACTACTTCAGACAAGCATTTTCGAACTATGACAGAAAAGCGATAGCATGCATATAAATAACCGTTATTAATTGTCAGAATTCGTGAGTGTCTTTTGTTCATCTCATAGTGGGTCATTTGTCCTCGCTTTGGGTCATTTAGTCAAAATATCTCTGCTACGGGCGAATATACTTACAAAAACGCAACCTCCACACACAGTCGGTAGTTGAACTATGTATGTCTGAAGAAGTCTGACCTTGGTCAGACGAAACGTTACAGAAATATATTTGTGTTAGTGTGCAGCAAGAATCTTGAATTACTCCACACACAACGCGTATTTCTATCAATTTCCTTCCGGTAGCTGACTTTGCTGAATTACGTTGACAATTATATAATGTGTGACATTTGGACTAGCTTTGTGATTGATAATAGACTGTAAGTCTACAGACATTTTACTATATTCAGCGCTTCCTGCGTGACCATGTTGCACAATTTCTGATTTGAAAATATTGGTTATTTCAGCAGATTATATAAGGTGTCCATAAAGGCCTGAATATTTTTTTTATTGCAACAGCAATTTATCGATACCGTATATTGTTTTGACCCTCACAGCTGTATTAAATGAAGTAAAAATACCTATCAATTACTGATTGAAAAACAACAAATCTGGTTAGAATGTATTGAGACCTGACTTCATAACAAAATTGAAAATGTAAAGGAACTTTGCGGACACCCTGTATTTCAGCTTTTTAATATCCAAAGTATTCCACTCAGAAATCTTTTATTTTTTTTATATAGCGTGCCTACGACTGTTCAATAAAACTGTGCGCTTATTATATTTTTCTCAAAGTTTCTACACGCTCTTAAAAATAAACTTACAAAATATCTAATTTAAGATTTTCCTACTTTGTTTTACATGTACTGTGCCCTACGCCTATTTAGTTAAACTTTACGTTTATACTTTTTCTCGCAAGTTATGTGCGGCTGTTGTGCGCTGGTTTCAAAAATAAACCTGGCTTGTCATACACGACATTATGACTTTGAACTACAATTCATCAATTCGAGTCGAGGAGAAAAAATACGTGGAAATTATCGAAAACTGAAACTAAATAAAAAATTTCATCAATCGAGATTTGAATGTGATTTGCGTACAAGGTTTGAAAAATTGGAGATTTGCAAAAAATTGTGAATTTCATTCGAAGATTAGTTCGAAATTTCTGGAAATGTATAAAAACTGGAACTAAATAAAAATTCATCAATTGAAAATAAGATTTGCAATTTTGAGTGCGATCTGCATAAAAGTCCGAAAAATTGGGAATTTGCAAAAAAAAAAGTTAATTTGAAATTGACCAATTCGAGTGTTATAGTCATTAAGTGTGAATAAAGATCTTGAAATACCCAAAAATTGACAAAACTGAAACTAAAAAAATAATTCATAATTCGAGAATGAGATTTGCAATTTTGAATGCGTTTCACATATGAGGTTTGAAAAATTAGGAATTTGGCAAAAAAAATTTGAAATATAAGAGACAAAATTGCGGCGAAAATCGAGCAATTTACTGAAATGAATATGGTGGACGAAAAAGATTTTAACATTTCAATCGAGTTTTGTATTTAATTCTTTCAAAATCCTTTTCATTCAAAATTTTCATAAGTGACTTTTACCAGATTTTGGTGTTACTAATATTATATCAGAATACCGTCATTCTTGCCAATAACATTTGTATATTAATGCAAACTAAGCAAATGTGGCTAGCCTATGATGACGAGGAAACATTCTCTCCAAGACACAGGCAAAAATATCTTTTTACATATCTGCGGCTGGCTGGATACAGTCTTGTTTTGAGCATATGTTTAAAAACTTCTTTAGTTTAAAGGTAGAATCTTTTCAACTTTTGGGGACAAAACTTACACAGAAGGTGGTATTTTAACAATTTTTGACATTACTAATATTATTCCATAGTGTTAGTCTTGCCTATATGTACATTTGCCCGTTTTGTAAAAAGAGAGAGAGAGAATTTATCCTTTCGCCAACCATGAAACCAATACTATAAAAAGATTAATAACAAAATAAGCGAATCAAAATTTTCGGTAATGACTGGGAGATAACGTAGCGGTCATCGAGTCAGTTACCACCTCCGACTTTATGACTGAAAGCAGAATTGGGCAAAACCCTTACAGGCCAGAAAAATTTAATTCTTTCAAGAACATAGTAGCTCTTCCCATTACAGTGGACGTGGCTGTTTGTCTTGAGCAATGCTCTGAGCAAAAGTCTAAATATCATAAAATAATCCTACCTTGAGCTCTCACGAGTTGTGTCATCGTATTTAATTGTTGTTGCATAAAGTGCTTTGCTCTTTGTAATTCCGTATCTTCAACTGGGTTTTCAACTTTGATTATAGCTTGAGGTTCATTTGCTATTGTTGCATCACTATTTTGTTGATTCCATGGAGACGTGACGTCATCAAGTCGTGACGAATCTGGTTCGTTTTTATCCGATGGCGACGGTGCACTTTCTACTGATCTAGGGCTTTTAAATATAGGAGAGATAATTGGTAAAACGTGACACATTGTTATGTCACAAATATAATTAGGCTCGCAGACGAACTGTCTGTCTCAGATTCGTCTGGTCTGTTTTGGATATTTATTTCTGTCAAGTCATTGACGTGTTATATTAGATTTTAAAACGAAACTAAACACGGATCTTGGCACATTTATTGCCATTTTTCATGTATACTACTAGAGTTATTTGAATACTTTAGAAATTTTTACATAGCACACCATAATTAATTGATAATACAGTTTTGCGTGGCTGCCATAAAAATCCCATTATCTGAAAGTCAAATAACCCCCTACATCTATGGTTCTTAAACTTTTTAAGCCGCGCCCCCTTTTTCGAATTTGTCAAGTCTCGCGACCCAACTCAAAAATAACTAGCTAACAATGAGCTACGAATAACAGATAGTAGGGCGAAAGTATGTTCTATTCGAAAAAATGCGTGAATGGAAAGTAAATAATGAAAAAGTTTCGAAACGTAAATATCCGAAATAGGGCGGACAAGATTAAATCTAACAACTAATTTTATTTTCAATTAGCCTAACACCCCCTCAAAAATTGTCTACGACCTCTTGTGGGAGAGGAGACCATCCAAATTACGACTGGAGGCAATACACCCATCTCAACATCTGCTCTTACTATACGAAAGACGCTGCTAGATATGCGTGAGATTTTGATAGAAATTCGGCTTATATACAGAGTTTCCCAAAATAAATGAAACTCGTTAATTAATTCATTTACCAATTTTGCGGGTTTCATTTATTTTGGGATACTTTTTTTTTATGACGTCACACCGTAATTATTACTGCACAAAAGCTTGTATATATGTGTCATCGTTGGACAATTTCGTGTTGTCCAAAACACATCCTTTGAAGTCCATTTGGTAAAGTATACAGAGTCGTGTGCTTGCGCCTGTGTACATGCTATCAGCTTTAATTGCTTTATGATATAAGATGGGAAATTTAACCATGTCTCTCTTCCAGTCACAACTTTATAAAGGGTATTATGGCGACTTATGGAAGTTTTAAGAAAATATCCCAGACTAATTCTGAGAAATTTTAAATTGAGACGATTGTATTCGTTACTGCTTCACAACGTAAAAGTTGGAATTTAAATATTTTTTCTATTTGCCATACATACATGTATTCAAATATCTTTTCAGTTTACCACCATCCAGTTTCATATTCATTTTCTAACAGGAAGCGCGACATTTCATTTTGAAGTTTGACTATTGTATTTATACCACGACTTACCCTTCTCTTTTACACTTAACTTATTGTTTATATAAATAATATGACAGGATGCGCTACATTTTATTATAAATTTAAAGTTGACTGTTACCTTCAAACCACGGTTGAATCTCCTGTTGCGCACTAACGTATGCTTGCTTATTAAAATGATATGACAGGATGTGCGGTATTTTATCTCGAGATCAAGGTTGACTATTGCCTTTATATAAAGACTGAATCTCCCTCCTGCGCGAACTTATGAATAATTGTTTACTAAAATAATATGACAGGATGTGCGACATCTATCTCCAAAATTCAAGGTTGCCTATTGCCCATAACGCAAGGAACCAACCTAATTTTCCTGCACTAATTTATGCTTACGGTAATTGCTTAATAAAATAAAGTGGCAGGATGCGCGATATTTTATTTCAGAATTTAAGGATGCCTCTACATTACATCATAGCCAAACTTCATTCAACTATGGAAAGGTGCATTGGCTTATGTTAGACTTTATTTTTCAATTTTATAAGCACGAATCCTGCCGTCAATTCTGGTCTAGACCGGTGAACGCACGTTTTAAAGAGGTGAAACATCAGACGTTAAGTAACAAGTTGAATTGAATTTTAAATATTTCTGTCTGTAGTCTAGACTCTAGACTTATTTTAAATGACAGACACTCAAGCAAAGAGCCGGCTGTGTTAAATTTCCTCCAGTAGGTTCATTGCACTTAAGTATTCCTTTTACCGGGCGAATACTTAAACGCCGTAGCTACCAAGAAATGATTGTATAACTAGAAAAATCTTAGGTTTTAAGTCGTACTGGTCTAAGTCCTACTATTGTATTTAATCAGTCCTTATTACGGTATGGTAAAGAGTTTATACGCTTTGACATTTCTCGGGATAATATTTGAATAAATAAATTTGAATTCTATGCAAAAAATGCGAATGGTTGCTACCAGCTAACGTACAAAAGAAAAGTATATCGTTTCGAATGTCCTTACCTACAAGCTTTATCGGGGCAATCAAACCATGCATAAGAAGGCCTTAAAATTATTCCTCCTTGATATATAGTCTAAGACTTATCAGTTTCTCGACGTAATTTATACGAGTTGAACGCATAGAAAAACACAACGTTGCTGCACTTTTTTTTTCTGAACTTACTGCCTTATTTTCACGAGTAAATCACGACTATTGCGCTCATTGCTTGTCCAGACTATCACCCTCACGATTTCCTACATATCTGCCAATCAGGTGTAAATTAAATGACAAGTGAATTATTTCTTGAAGCTGTCGGTTGTCTCGACGGGACCGTTGCCAGAGTTTTGACTGTCCGACTGGATTTATTTATATTATTATTCACCGAATGAGACACTCACGAGATATCGTGATGGCGCATCAGGGCGTAGGCCAGGCCAAAGGCTGCGAACGGGATTTTCAATAGTACCATCAAAGCCCTCCCATCAAAGGACCCCCAATGGTCACGCTCCTGTGACGAGTTGTACAGCCGTGGGTTAGAATACGGAAGCTCCCGTCACTCCTTAATTATTATAAAACCAACTATAATACAAAAAAAATGAAGATGAGGCCAGCTGGTAAAGCGGAAATTAATTTACATATCTTCCAATCAGGTGTAAAATAAATGACAAGTGAATTGCTTCTTGAAAATGTCTGTCGTCTGGACAGAACCGTTGCCAGAGTTTTAACTGTCCGACTGGTTTCATTTATATTATTATTCACCGAATTAGACACTCACGAGTTATCGTGATGGCGCGTCAAAGCGTAGGTCAGGCCGGCGCCTGAAAACGTGGGTTCCTGAGTGTATTGAGGGTCTAAAAAGCGTTTCAAGCTACAAAAAATAGCTATGTATTTATACAGAAAAAGGATTTTTTTACATTTCAAGAGGGGGGGGGGGGGGGGGGGGGGTGAGTTCCCCTGGCTCTGAAGTCGTGGGTTGAAAAACGGAAGCTCCCGTTACTCCTTTATTATAAAAACAACTAAAATACAGAAAAAAATAATAACAAACTGAACATGTTGTGATTGATTTTTTCAAATGTTTAGATCTTTTGAAAAACGGAAGTTCCCAGTGTTCCATATTACTAAATACCTAACTAAACACTGATTATCTCCTTGTTTTTGGATTTTTCCATGAGCTGTGGCAGTGAGCCATCTATCTGTCGATCTATTCTTTATCTTAATTCACATAAATCAGGAAAAAAACTAAACACTCTAGTATTACAAAATTCTGAAAATTACTTTTTTAATTTCTCGAACAATTTAGAAGTTCGCCTGAAGTCTCGAGTCCCAAACTAAAAGTAGAATGAGTACTGATAGAAGATTTGCAAAACCACTGATGCGCTATACACTATATAAAGAGTTAAAAATTTTGTGGAAAGAGTGCCATCATACCGCTTAACTAAATTCAAACCATGCATATTTGAGAATTCCCAACATCGGGAGGAATTTCGATGAACTAAATTATTTATTTAAATAAGTTTCGGTTGGTTAAGATTTGGATTTCTAAAATAAGCTATAATAGGTCTAACGGAAATCTCCGAACTTGGTCTCTGAAAAGTCACAAAAATAAATTTTATGAACTTTAAACCAAAATTTGAACATTTCTGTAATAAAGCTATAAATATCCTTATGAAATTAGATTTTATAGACTTGTTTCGAAGATTTTGCGATTTTAAATTTATCATTTCATTTTTGGAAAATCAATATGGTGTGTTTCGCTGAGTCACAGTTACAGAGCGTGACAGTTTTGTTTATAGAAGCACGAGACGAAAATAAAAACAATACAAGATCATTCATTGAAATTCGGGTTCCTATCGCAGTCCTTATAATGAGATTTTTATATACGCTTCCTACAAGGCAGGGATATGATACGTATATGGCATAGTATAATACGGCGTTAGTTAGCCCAATTTATCGCTCTCTTTGTGAGGTACACCGAGTACATGTATTGTCAACGAGGACAAAAATTAGAAAATACTCGCAAAATAAGCGTTAAAATGTTTGCAACGGTTAAGTAATGAAAAAAAAATTTTCTGGGGTCAATGTTCGGGAAAACATCCATTGCTTATTGTATATATCCATTAAATATTGCATAGCACTTCAACCGTTAATATTTATTAATAATATCAATACGACCAGTGAAAAATATCCATTTTACGATAAAACATTAACACGAATTATTAACGAACATTAACTGCACGAAAGGAAGTATTCGACTTCTTACGAGCCTGGCGTTAAAAGGAAATGAAAAAATTTCATGGAAATAAACCTCATCAAGACATGAATGACTTAACATTCAAAATATTGGAAAATTTTTGTTTGCGTCTAACCCCCCGATTCCGTTTATATTTTCTATCAATAAGAGTAGAACCACTACTTATAAAAACTCATGGTATAATATCAGCTCTTTCCTTCCTATGCATTTTCTGGTGATGTTTATAGACATATAGACCACCTTCTTTCAAAATATAAAAACCGCTTTTTAGAGCTTGAAACGTATTTCAGACTCGGAAGATTGAAAACCTACGTTTTGCATCCTCAGACCGGACTCGCCAGCTAATTTCGCAATTAGAAATTTTAGATCCTCTCCTCCCCCATTTGAAAACTCCTTTCTACGACCCTGATATAGACGTGTACCAGACATTCGAAACATTACCTAACCTATATCCTTTGCTTTTACAATGCGCACGTTTTACTATTAACCTTTCATTCTAATGTTCATTTCCTATCTCTGTATAATTGACTACCTAGTTCAGTGTTCCCTAACATATGGGTCGACTGAAAATCTCTTGGGTGGTTCGTTTTTCAAAAATAATTCATCATCCATCTCAATTTACATCTAATTTCTTAGAAGAGTTATATGCGTTTATTATTTGTACATATCCTTGGGTTTCTAGATTTTACAAAACCTTTTTTTTTTAAATTGAGTCGCTTGAAAAAAAGGTTAGAAACCACAGACCTAGCTTATGATGACGCTTTTCTCCAACTAGCCAATTCACTCTTATTTCTATGCTATTTCCATCGATAAAATGTCCAAACTACTTATACTGTCCGAACTGTATCCGTGTCCAATAGCCGTCTATCTATAAGAAACCAATCTGCCAGAAACCAGCGGAAATGCATTGCGTTGTATCGATCCTATGTCTGGGACGGTGCACAAATAGTCGTGATCTTATATTATATATGATTACGCAAACTATAAGCACGAACACAGACTGGTTTGCGAATTACACGTATATTTGAAAAATTGAGAAATTAAATTACTAAATATTGCGAAACTAAGCATTCGAGTCGAAACAAACATTTTGCCAAAATCAAATATCCGAATTTCTTGACTTGATTTATGATTAGAATTATTTAAATATCATTCATGCAGGGCAGACAAATGTAAACTGGTATAAATTATTTGCGAAATTGCGAAGCAATTTTATCTAAAAGATTTCATATAATCATAAGTGCCGTCGATCCAACGTTTTGATTAACGGTTTTAAAAATTGAATATTATAGGATTCGATTCGCTTTTGTATAATTTGGCCAATCGTCATTGTAAAAAATGCCAATACACATTTGGATTGGTATTCGCCGAATTCCCGACTCGTCTGCGTTTGCAACCAAGGGCGTGGCCAGAATTTTTTTAAGAGGGGGGGGGGATTTTTGTTTGAACCCCAAATACATTTGGCGAGTTCGATACTCTTAACCAGTCGTGACTTTGGTTCTATATCATAGTACATGCTAAATCGGTTTAGAGAGAATACTCGGAATTCTATACTAGCGTCCGCAACTATTTACGTCACTCAACCAAGTTTTAGTTGAGATTCAATCTTTTGCGACTCGGTTTAAGCAATGGCAAGACAGTCAACCCATAGTATCTAAATATTTCATTGCAAACTGTCTAACATAACATATTAAAAACTGTACATACCTGATATCTTTATCTCTAAAACATCTGGCAAATGGGTTGAGGTTGATCTTGAGCTGAGCTACCTGTAACCAAAGGTTGAAAGTAACATTTATCAGTAAACTTAATTTCCAATCGAAGAATGAATCAAATGTTTTGGCTATGTATCATTCAGATACGGATTAATTAATACCGCGTAGTAATGGAAAGATTATGAAAAAGGAAAGGGGGCGACAGACGATTTGACAACTGGTTATGCTACTTATCTGGTGATAACTAGAACTTAATCAACTACTGATTGGAGCACCACTGCATATACTAAAACAATATTTTATTTTATATCAGTAACACAACAGTCAATAATGTTATTTGTAAAATTTCATCACACATCGGCTTCTAACAAGCTTTTGGACCACCTGTTTTCAACCAGTGGACCGTGGCTCAATGCTGAGCCACAAAGTCCACAAACATATCGATAAAAGTAGTTTCATTTGTGTTACTATAGTTACATTTTAAATGCAGTAGCAAAAATGCTGCTGCTGTTTTTCACTACTGAGTGGTAATTTGTATTTAATTAAATTATTAAAAGTCTAAGTGTCTATATTGCGTGAAGAATCAATTTTTTTTCCTGTAACTTTACCCTGGCATGGAAAAATTACGAATTTTTGTGCAACGAAAATCGGCCACGACAGAAAAAATGTTGAGAACCACTGTTTAAGGCAATAAACTTGAGACCAATAAATAGAGACAAAATGTTTCTTAAAACGGCAGTAATATTTCCAGTTTGACGTAGATTTGCTCTAATGCAGTCTTGGGCGAAGTTTTTCAAGTGTGGCTCAATTAGTAAAATGAACAAGGTTTCAAGGCTCATCAAACCAATGAAATGAACGTAACGATCGTTTAATATATAAACAAAAAACATTTGGCAAAGATTTATATGTAATGTTTGATTTGTAGAACGTTTTGGTGTAATTGAAATTTATTGGAGGCCCACTAGAAAATTCTCGGGGATTGAACACGAGCCACGAACATAGTTAGAGCCAATTCGGTAAGCACTGAGCTAATTCTCTGCACCTTCCTGGTATTGATTGACGAATATGTTTTACCAAAGACGCATCCGGCAACGAAATTTCATGATTAGATCACGTCAATTGCACGTAAATGTGTCAAAGCAATTAAACAAATTGGCTGTCTCGGTAGGTCTTGTGACATAGCGAGGGACTTTGTTGTTTTGTTGTGATTAATGTATTTTGAATTTGTAGGAAAACAACAAAATGTAATGTATCATGTTGTCTGTTGTTTGCCAAGTGGAAAGAATGAGTGGTTTTTATGGAAATTTTTGTTATTGCAATTGGTATCGACAATAAGACAGGGATTTTAAATGCTGTGAAAAGATCATTTCTTCTGACTGGAAGTCGTAATTCACAGGTGTCGCAGAACATTCCTATTTATAAGACTCAGTTATTCAAACTCATAGTTGAAAAAGTTTCTATTTTTAAGAGTGCATTAATTTTTTTCGACTAAGGTTTGACATATATTATGATTTGTTTGAAAAAATCCAAGACTAAATTCTGGAATTATAAAAGGTTGTTATTGTAAAAGTCTACTTACATCTGTGTTATGGTATAACGTTACTGTCATGAATTGTGTCTTCGGGATGATGAACGTTCGAAGATTGGTTTGAATTGAAGGGTCACGGGGGTCAACTTCTACCACGTGGAGGCGCGGTTGATATTTGTGAAGTGATTTCAAAGAAAGCTGTGAATAAAATAACAATTGTTGTCATAACGAGTTTAGCAATGTTATTACAAAAAATAGAATGCGCTCCAGAAGTATGTGTACCAATATAGAGGTAACTAATTTGGTTCACCCACTTTACATCAAGTTGTGTAAAGGGACGGAAACCTATGGACAGGGGCTACAGCCACTTGGATAACACAATCAGTCCTCGAACTCGTAATGAAACTAAAATAAAGAAAATCAGAATAAAATTATAGCCTAACCCTAACCTGGTACACATACTACGGGAATACTAAATAAAAATCGTTAGGAGCAAAGGTTCAGCTAAGCCTATTATTCCCCAGCAATATTTTAGTAAATGAACAGTTAGAAATGTGATGAGGGAAACTTATTCTTGTGAGGCAGTTGTCACGCTTATGTTGTAATCACAGTATTGTCCAACTATTCAGTATCAGTAAAGGGATAGAAATATTATTATAAGATAATATCGATTTTGAATTGAAAATTATTGAAATTGATAGACATAGACATTTTTCTAGGGGTAATTTTAATTGTGCCATAACAAATGTAGATAAAAAGAACAGTATTATTATCTACTCTTTTACGATGTCTAGTTAATTTCAGTGTGCTGTCTCAATTTATACCCGTACCTCAAACACATAATTACCAAAATAAACGCGTATTATGTTTTGCTCAAATTCGTATCATTAATATTGAAAGCGTAAATGTGGAATAGTACGTGGACAGACAGTGGGTTCAACTGTTCCACTAAGACTTGAAGCAATATAGATCAGGGGTGGACAAAATTTTTGAACGAAGGGCAAAAAATTTTGCCTACCTTGACTGATGGCCATGTGAGTGTGACGTAAAATGTTACATTTTATGAACAATATTTACGGTGTTACAAAAGTGAAAATGAAAAACAATAAGCATCGTGCCGAAACTAAATTTAATCGCAATCTCAACAAAAGCCTTGAGCTATTTTTTTTTAGCTACAACATCACCAGGCGGGTCAGATCGAAGTACTAAATAGGCCGGATTTGGCCCGCGGAGCGTAGTTTGCACATGTCAGGTATATATGGATGTATAGCCGTAATCGCCAACTATAAAGTGGCAATTGTAAACAGGAACAAATGGAAAGAAAAGTCGAATAACCAAAAATACCTTATCGCTATCACTGTGAAGATGGTTGCTCAATTTCATCTTTGAAAAACTAACGCCACGTTTATTCCAAACATCCCCAGATGCGGGAGAGTCGGGATGAAGGCAAACCCTGTGGCTTTTATCGTAGAAATCTTCTTCCGGGGCGAGACCAGATGGATTCCATTTTTGTTCACTATAATAGGTTTGTATTAGAGGTTTTATTGTAGAACAGACAATGTTACCCGTAAAAGTTGACAAGTTTGTACTTAAAATCCTCCATAAATCGCAAAAGACTATTAACTTATTCAGCATAGCGCCACATTTCCTCTGATTGGTCAACTAAAAACTTGACGCACATAAGAACGACGCACTCTTACGTACGAAGAACTCATCATTTATTTTTCACGATATAAGTACAAGCAAACGCTGAATTTCCTCGAGATATATAGCAGGGGTGTGCAACCTTTTATACAAGAGGGCCACATACTAATAACTGGCTGAAACTGCGGGTCGCACCTTAATTTAACATAGGCTTTCTAGTAGTTGCAGATTTTCGTTATTGATCTTGTGAAATGCGTCGTTCGCTTCGTACAAGCTTGCTTTTAAGACATTGTAACGTCAAAGACATAGATATTTCAAAGTGATTTGAATTACTCGCACGTACCAGATTAAACTAAATTAAAAACTTGTCCCGCGGGCAGCACACCATTCAAAAATGGCACTACTCCGCGGGTCGCACAGTTTTCCTCGTGGGCCACATTTCGCCCATTACCTCGAGAAGTGGAGTTATATTAACTTCAATATGTATTGGCGGTTACGGAAGTTCAAGTCGACACGGTCGGGGATAGCACTTGAGTATGGGGAGAATGTGAATACAATAGGCATAGAACTGGAATTTGCAACCGGTAGCAAAAGGGTCTATTACTCTATTAGTTAGATCAAGGGTGTGCAACCTGCGGCCAACAAGGAAAAAATTGTGCTTCCCGCAAAGAAGTGCTTATTTTGAATAGTGTGCGGCCCGCCAAACAAGTTTTTGATTTAGTTTAATCTGGTACGTTCAAGTAATTCCAATCCCTTAGCGTTGCGTTATCTATGCCTAAGGCGTTAAAATGTCCTAACAGCTGATTAAGGTCATTGTTACATTTGTTTGCTTGCCTACCTTTCAAAATCTACAAATTTCAAACGTACCTGAATTTCCACACGTATTTATTTGCAAGAACGAAATCGACGAATACACTGTACAGCTTCTGTGGGTGTAGACCTTTTACATCGTATTCCAAGACGGGGAACATCCGTCTAAAAATGAGATTTTGAAAGGTTTAGAATTGTATTATATAAGTGAAAGTGTGGGAAATATAGAGCCGTCTTCCTCCAGTCTGTGTCCACTATATCATTCAGAAATTGGATTTAAATTACTTTATAGAACCAGACATTTCAAATATTGTTTTCCACTGAGCATTGATGCCTTTATCTTTCCGGATTTACCTAATTTAATATGGAAGTGGATGAATGTGGTCTGTCGTTACTCAAAAGTGATAAATTACAGCAATTGTATGCTAGTCTCCCAAGTATTCTCCATCTTTGATTTTTTCCATAAATCTGAACTAAACGTTATCATCAGAATCATACCTCCCATGTTTGCTGATGACCATCTCCATGACTACGCTTTCAAAATTCTTCCACAAATCACTATTTCTTAACTTGACTTTTGCCCCCAAGCAATTGACCTCCCAATCGTTTCCACTAGTTCCGGTTGTTGTTCCGGGTGGCACATCTGACGGTACTATCGGAACCTTGAGAAATAAAGATATGGCGTTACAAATATGTTTCCATATACAAAATTTAGACTTCTTATTATATATATTCCGGTATTATTACTTTGCTGAAAAAATAACTTGAATAATTTGTCCCGAACGTTAAGCATACACTAATTGTACCTACATTGAGGGTAATTTGGGACGACATAACTCTTCAGCTTTTGTAAAACAATTTCGATTTGAACGACTTCTCAAATTTCGTCAAAAATCTTCCATTTATTCATTCTCTGGCCAAAGAGCGCAAATTTACGCACTATTACTTACTTGAGGCGGTCTTGGAATTTGTGGTATTGGTGGCTGAATTCCCGGAATAGAGGGGTGAACACTAGCAGGATGTCGAAATTTAGGGGGTTGCGGTGGCTGAACAAACGGAACCATTGGAGGCGGAGAAGAGTTTTCACTTGAGATACTAGACATTGGAGATGGGGTGCTGTACGGATGAGATGGATTTGAGTTCCACGCTGGTATGGCCCCTGGATTTGGGGACACTTGAGAACCATTAAATCCGCCGTGTTGTTGTTGAAACTGGTTGTTTGGGAACGTCGTATTCCCTGTTGGGCTCGGTGACACCATCCAACGGTTGTCGTTTCCATGCCCTTGCATACCCGGGGTGGCGCCATAATCTGAGCTCTGTGATGAAGAAGACATTCGCCTACGCATCGTTGCAACCTGCATCACAAATAAAGACTAATTTGTGAGTTGCTTGCTAACTAAAGATTTATTATGATGGAGAACGAAAAATATATTGAAGATTCTGCATTTCGATTTCAAAGTATTTTCACTCTGTTAGACTTAAACAGTTTCGTATGTAAAGGAAAACGAACAAAACCATAAATTACTCAGAATAGGCCAATATTTCTGATTGATATTTATAGTGAACGACTGATCGAAAGTGTGTGTAGGTAAAAATCTCACATTGGTCCAAACGAGTGCGCGTTCAATTAAAGTCGACCATATGAAAGACAAAACGCCCTCCTCGTAAGAGCCCATTTAAATGGGAGTTTGGGTATGATATATATATATATATATAGTGTGTCCCGAAATAAATCGAATTAATGGGTTTCATTTATTTCGGGACACCCTTATATACTTTACTTTTTCAAATATACTGTCATTGCATAGTTGATAATATTAGTAATTTTGCGCTATTGGCAATAGCCCATTGAGCAAAATACCGTGCTTCATAGTCAACAGTAAAACGCTTTATACCTGGTCATAAGGGTTTGGCATTCCTTGAACGACCGGACTCGTACTTTGTCCGTACGGCTGTTGAATTGTGGGATTTTGATGTTGCATTATGGGAGGCGAAGCGCGGTTGCGTTGTTGCTGAATCCAATTTCCATGTTGCCAATTCCCGTTTGTAATCGTTATCGGCTGGGAATTTGCATTATAGTCTTCATGCTGCTTCGCAATATTGTTGTTAAAGGTATTCCATCCATGCATTCCTTGTTGGTGCCTGTTTACCATCTGAGCTGGCTTGTAAGCCATTAAGGGTGGACTCTGCCTGTTTCTCACGTGTGGCATAGGCGGTGAAGGCCGTTGGTAAGGATTATACCTTCCCGCTCCTGGGTGAACGTAACCACCGTTCGGCACTACCCCATGGTTGAATTGCTGTATGTTGTTCAGGCCTTGTGCTGGATACCCCTGGTATTGAAAATTGCCATACGCAACTTCTGCCATATTTAAAAACCTGCTTAGAGGAAAACAAGAGAGCAATTCTCAAATATATTGTCATGTAGGACAATTTACTAATATGGCCAACAGTAAGTCATCAATAGCGCCGGATGTCGTCACAAAAACAAAATAGCAATTCTCATAATATAATGTCGCGAAGGACAACCAAGTAATATGATCAATTCATTCAATGTACCCGATGTCATATGACGGCAGAAGGTGAACTGATAAAACAAACAAAAATCGGATCTCTTGTAAAAAAAAAACGCAAAATAAAAACATCCCCGCCAACCCTCAAAATGAGAAAATTAGTAATTATCTAGTTAGGGTTATGGACTTATGGTTGGAAATGCAGATTTCGAATTTTTAAATCATTCCCCTTCAACTGGATAATAACCAATTTGTTATTTAAAAACGTGGCGGGGGTGTTTTTCTCAAATCTCGCCTTTTTGCATTAGTTGCGAGGGCTTTGTACAGAAGATTCCAAAATTTTGATGCAAGCGCTACTCTAACAAACCTCTCTCTCACATGCAGAAGTAAGTCCAAAACTTGTACACAATGTTACCACAATGACCACTCTCCCTTTAGGTGGAGAACTTGTGTGACAATTTAGAATTCTTTTATTGAGACATTATTTTTTAGGTCTGATTCACGAGTACATAAGCAAGTGTTGTATCGGAACCCAATCGCGCAGCGATTCGAATAATATAGTGTTCACTACTTCATAAAAAATATTTAGTCACGTGATATCAATACACCAAAACAAATGTTGTACAACAAGGCAATCGAGCACTGTTCGGAAACTTGACTGAAATTTTTACAGATTTTCACTCATTTTGATGTGCCTGTTGTTAACAATTACCGACAACCGGTCTGACAACCTATATATATTCAAAATTATACTTGTTCCAGGCATTTCCTGCGCTTTTGTTTGTCAGTTACCTAATGCTACTAACTGCATCACTATGATTAATCTCGTCTGCTATGTTGATGAGCATATGACGAAAATCTTATCATAATTCTCCGCTTTGAAGACCTAACTTTTTTCAAACCTCTCGCGCCCTGTAAACAAACTCCGTCCGATAAGAGATACCGCCCTGTTTTCGACTATGTTTCTAAACTGTTCAACCAATCACGCTAATTGTTCCTGCTCGTTGATTGATCGACGCAATCTTTACGTTATCTGTGCGTGCGTCCCGCGTACGCGTTATCTTACTCTCCACCGAGGACGAAGTTATAGATAAGGAAGTTGGTGATATGTAATGTTTATCATCATTGTTCTGCATAATGATATGGATCCTACATTTTTGGACGGGATGGTACTGGATGGGTCTCAAATATAACCTGGCATCGCTACTTCATAGGTTAATTAGTCGACTTCACTTCATTTTGGCCAAATAAACAACTCTCATTTTTTTCAAATATTTGTTTAAAGAATTTTCCAACCTTTTCAATACTGCGAACTTCTTGAGATAAAATCGGATTTTAACGCCTCTGTTGTCGCTTGATCAACAATTTCAGTAAATACGTGAAACCAGAGGACTAAAAATATTAGCGTGTTACCTAGTTATTACCTAGTTCTAGTACGCGTAGCCTTGTTTTAGACAACTGTATGTTAAAAGTAAATAGTTATTAGTTAGTTACATAAGTAGCTCAGATCTGTGAAATAAAACAAGAGAGCGATGCCTAAACATGTGGACACGAAATTCAAAACGAAAAAGTATCGGATCTTTTACAATCCAGGCAGCCCTCTCAGTCAAAAAACTTCCGATTTCACTGATCACTAAATAACTCAAATACGATTTTAATTTTGATGAAGTCATCACATTAAAGCTAAAACGGAAAACTAATCCCACAGAAATCATTTTTCCGAACCCAAAACAACTGCTAGCTGGTGCTACTGAGCTGTATTTAGATCCCTTCAGTGCCTGTCAATCGGGGAAGTTATCTGGTGGGTTCGGTTAAAGATGTTGCCATGTACAAATGGTTGTCTCATATAACTTTCATGTCTCTTGGATGTTATATGTGGTTCAGCTGCCAAAGCTATGCTCATTCATATTAAAAGTGTTCTAAAAACGTCATTTCCTCAAAAAATAAAGTTAGATATTAAACCTCGGGTGTCGCTGCTCGATAACCATTCCTGGTTCCCCGCGACTTCCCTTCCCCAGTAAAAATGTGTTTTCAGTTTTGTAATTTGTTAACTTCGTATGTTTTTTTTTACTGAATGGGAAAAAATACACTTGACTATGACTACATGGTGATGGTACGCGGGAGAACTTTAGCGATCACGAGATTCGGGCGTGATATTATACAGTATTTCTAATCAACAAGACACTTATAGTTTGATTTGTCACTTGATTGTGACAACTGCGAACTGGGTGCAACGGACAAGTAAATTCAAACTAAAAAGTTCCAATTCTGAAACAAAACACGAATTATGGATCTTAGGCCGCGAGCCGAGGCCATTTATCTTTCAGTTTCGTAGCGCACATCAGGTAACTACCTGAAAATGATTTTAAAATGTTCCTTAGAAATTTAGTAACAAATATTGCCTTGTTCCCACTTCCAAAAGTTGCACGTTTTACAGAAAAGACGCTTTTACTACAATAAATATGTGTTACCATCTGTCCTATTTTCTCTGCTTTTCCGGTATCATGGGCCAATGAACGCAGACTTCTGCACGACGTAACAGTCAAGTTAGTCAGCTGTAGGTGGATCCCCAGTGGTCGGATGAATATCAGATGTACTCAACTGCTCGCTTTTGCGTTGAGTAGCCTTTCCATAGTTTTTTTCAGTTACCGGTAATATTAGTCCAGTTATTCTAAGGAGGTGTTGAAAAGTATAGGTAAGATATTAAACACTTGTATATCCTTGCCATAAATAGCAATTTTAGTTGAGCACTAGCTCATAAGACGTTGTTAAATAGGTACGGTGCGGTAACTCCAAGGAAGGCTAGACCTAGAATAATATGTCACAAACAACGATATTTTCTGGCTTGCATGAAATGTTTATGATTAATTTAATGACTCTTTTTGACTATTCAGCAGACTTATACTACTATATAGGCCACAGCATATTTGGAAATAGAAATGAATGGCTGTTTCTGTAATGCACGGTTGTGTGACAGAGAAGAAATTAATCAATTTTACTAATGTCGGTTGGTCTAAATCTAAATTCATAGAGTCGACAAGAACCTGGGAAGCAATGATAAGTTATGCCGGAGTGGAAAGAAAGGTAGCATTGGAAATGATTGAGAGGTGGGAAATGAAGTTGTAGACAAACAGTTGACTGGTTGATGTTTCAAAATATAGTCTATAGTCCATACTCATACTGTCATAGGACATTTCAGACTGTGATATATTAAAATTTAATGTAGATATAGTCTAGTAATGGTATGCAAACACTGCTGGACTGTAGAACATGCAATGAGCATATATACGCTCATTTAGTACATCAGATAAAATGCATTATGTATTCAAGGTATTAGTTAGTATTTAGGGGTATTTTTAAAATCATGCTGCTCCAAATATTATTTTCTTCCTTATTTTAGATACTGTACTACAAAAGAAAACGGCAATGTTCCACCAATCCGACCTAACGCAGGCTCTGATCCCTGCTGCTATCAGTGCTATAAAATGGATTAAACAAGAAGTCTTGAAGCTTAAAGGTATATGAGAATCATAATAGTTGCAAACAGCTTAGATGGGCTATTCATATTGAAATACTTTAGCACTTTTCTGCAATTGGAACTGCCCATCAAATTCATGTTGGAGACTTCATTGAGATTTTCAATTCATTTTTTTCCCTCGACTATGAAGATCTTTTGAGGTTAACGAGGTATTAATAAATAAAGCTGAGGAATTTGAAGAGGATATGAAGAATGTAAATGATACCAGGGCACGTCTATTTAACACTGTCAAACATAAGGATTATACTCTCCACCCAACAATGATTCACTGAAGAAGCATGTGGCCCTCAAATCAGTTCTTGAGTTGGCAAACTGCAAAGAAAAATAGTCAAAATAATTTATGAAAGTGTGCCAAAATCAACTTAAATTGCACAGATTTTTGTTTTTGTATTGACTGCAGAAATCACAGTACACCTATAGAGGAAAAGTCGATTTTTGAGATAGTGGATTTCGAAAACAATTCAGAAGAAAGTGAATTAGATATTACAGTTGATTTAATAAGTATCATACATTTGTTGTTTTTTTCGGACATTTGTTAGTGTCGTTTGTTCAAATACATAACCACATAAACTAAAAAAAGATTAATTGTAAATTGTAATATTTCTGTTCACTATGTTATGTACATATTGTACATTCATTTAATTTTCTTGACTTTTGCGGTAAATTTCTAAGTGAGAAATAACTGATTTATTTGTGTTTTCGTGCTCACGATGTTAATTTGTGACTTCATTGCTTAAAAATAAATACGTTTGATACTTGATAGCTTCTATAAAATGGATGTAGCTTTTTATGCTGTTCTTGTTGTAAACTGCTTGTGGTTATTACATAAAATTTATTCTCAAATGTGAATCAGCGTTGTTGGTGTCGCTGCTTTCGAGGTCACTCCCGACTCCTGTCACACAATTAAAGTATTTTTTGTTGTTGGTTACATGTATGCCATATTTTTCGTAATCTACCTAATATATTATGATCGACTGAGGAAGTCCGATTTTGGTCAGGCAAAACATTACAGGAATACATTTGTGTTAGTGTGCTGTAGGGCTCTCGAATTGCATAGTTCTTATGTATGCGTTGTAAACTTATGGTTATTGAATTTCCGGGAACCTCTTATATTCAATTTCGCACCAGGATTGTGGAACAAGCTGTAGTGCGTTCATTATGTTCGTTTTCACACAAAACTGAAGAATTTATTTAGTTACCAGATGTGCGCTACGAAACTCATTTTCTGGGCGTTTTCATGGTTTCGTCTCACGGCCCATATCCGTGGTAAAGATCTACAAGTGTTTAATAAATCACTTATACATTTTTCAACAACGTCTTAGCATAAC